CCCCTCGGTAAAAACGTATTAGAATCGGTTACGTACAGAAATTATTTCATCGTGCAAAACACACAAGAAGAGAAAGAGAGAGCAAGAAGCCGAAAGAGTTTCTTCACAACATTTCAAGAACGTGAACAATGTCGAACACTCTGCAGGATGTATTTTTAGCCCCGCTAAATACTACTTGAGTCATACCCGAAATGGTAATTTGTTCATGAGGTTGATAGTGTTCTCACGATGATCAGCCCTGTGCCAACAATCTAAAAATACATTCCTCGACCTCAAAAATGTCACTTTTCCGTTTTTTATTTCCCAACTACGAAATTAAGTTTATCCGTCGGATTCGAGACAATAACAATTATCATACATTTTCCCGTGGTTTTCGAGTAGTAAAAGCTAAGAAATTGCGATTTGAAATTCTTCTCAACATCTATACTCCAAGACGTAAGCTGTAATTAATAACAAAGCGTAAAAGCCCGCAAATGCAGCATTGACGACCACTCATATCTACTTTTTGATTTAAACACGATTGTGAATCTCAAATCATGGACTCTCCATCGCGATCCAGTCAGGCCGGTCACAGTGAAGAACTGAGTACCTCTTCCGGTCTGCACAAGTCCCCCGTCAGCTCCTTCTACGGAAACCAGGACGGTTATCGCGACTACCGGTTCGGCTTGCGCGCGTACCTTCGGGGCAGGCACTTCCTGGAATACGTGGACGGCAAGAAAACTCCGACCAGCGACGTGAACAGCGAAATTTTCACGATCATCGCCTGCACGCTCCGCAGTGAGGCCATTACAGTGGTTTCCTCAGTTCCCGAAGGTGACGGAGTTGCTGCGTACAAAGCGCTCGAGAATCGCTACGACGCTCCGCGGGTGAGCCGCAAGATTCACTTGCTCCGCACGTTGCTCGGGTTGAAGTGCATCAGCGTGGCGGACGTTTCCAGCTTTATCTCCAAGAAAATTCAGGCGCTGGAGGAGTTGAAGCGGTTGAATTTATCGGCCGAAGAAGTCGCGTTGATCGGGATTTTGGATCAGCTTCCCCCGGAACTCTCCACCACGGTGGAAGCGTTGATCGCGCGGGAAAATCTGACATTGACGCACCTCTGCGACTTGATCACGGAGGCGAGTGAGGCGATTTTACGGCGTCAGTCGGAGCATAATCCGACCGCGTTGGCAGGCAAGGGAAACGGAAAGGATCACGATTATTGGTATTACCGCCCCCGTTCCAAAGGAAAAGGAAAAGGCAAAGGAAAAGGTAAAGGCGAAAAAGGAAAGGGAAAAGGAAAAGGCAAGAAGGGCAAGGCTGCGGTCGCCGAACTTGCCGAGGCGCTGTAAATCGAAGACGAAAACTCCTGTTTTGACGTTTTGATCGACGAAAATCAAGAACCTAGGACCGAAAACCGACGAACAGTTTTATCCACGAATAATGTTTTGAACCGTGTAAGAAAATCACAACCGAAGAAATACATACCGGAAATTGATCGAAATTTACCAGAAAAACAGAAGAACGAGAAACCATCGGAGTACTATCGTGATTGAGTTCAAATCACGACTAGTAGCCAGTCAGAGGACTTTTACGGCCCCAAGGGTATACAAACCGGCTGCAGGTCGTAATTTGAAAACAAACCGCACTACATTCCGGAACACAGAAATCAAAGGAAAAACCGACAAAATGGGAAAGTACAAAATGAAGCAATTCAAGTGGCGAAGTGTGAAGAGCAGGAGACGAATCACCATGGTACCAGACTCCGGGTCCACGGACCACCTGGTGAATGATCTCTCCGTTGTCCAGGCCATTTCACCGTATGAAAAAATTGTCAACTTCGGCGGTACCGAGCGGATAGCTGGCAAAGTTGTTCGACTCGTCCCGAATTCCCTTAACATTTCGACGGCGATTTTTTCGACGAGTTTCCGTTTCAACCTGTTATCACTCTACAAATTGACACTGATGAGGCTGTATACGTGTTTTTGGAGTATGAAAATCATCGACGACAAAGGCATGGAAAGGGCACCGATTTACCGAACCAGTAACATGTACCAGGTGGGAGTTTATTACGATTCCGAAAAACAAGAAGTAGCAGCGATTTCCCAGACCAGTAAAATGCTGCAACACCAGCGCAACATGCATTTTTTCGACACTACCTGCAGAATCAAGAACTGCCACGCCTGTCAGCAGAACAAGGGGCAGAAACCGTCGCACAACCGACGACCACAAGAAAAAGGAATAACGGCGAAAAGGTTCAACGAGGTGGTCCATATCGACATCGTTGGACCGATTTCCCTGCGCTCGTTTAATAACCATCGCTACCGTTGCAACCTGGTAGATGGTTACACAGGATGGGGGGAAAGCTACCCCCTGAAAAGCAAAACAGAGCCCTACCTCGCACTACGTCAGTGGGCTCAATCTCACGGACGACCCCAAGCGGTGCGATGCGACAACGGAGCCGAGTTTCAGGACCTGTTTGCAAAAGAGTGCAGAAGATACAACACCACCATTCGGCGGTCAGCTCCATACGAACCGGAGCAAAACGGTCTCGCTGAACGTTTCAACAGAACAATCGTCGATGCTATCAGGACGGTGGTAGCGGACACAGATCGGCGATTGTGGGCAGCAGCAGCGCGGGCCGTCTCGTTTGTCAGGAACCGACTGGCAAGAAGAGAGAAAGAGGCGCCCTACAAGATGCGTTTTCAGCGTAACGCTGCGACCAACTATTTTCGTCGTTTTGGATCACTATGCTACTACAAAGTGCACGTGAGGACGAAAATGGAGCCGAAGTACAGGATGGGTTGTTTTGTTGGATATGGGGAACAAAATTCCACGTACAGAGTAGCACACTACAGCAAGGACGGCGCGCTAGTAGTTTCCGAGTGCTACGCGGTCAAGTTTGATGAGTCCAAAACCATCAAAAATATGAACTCGATCAAGAACATCGACGACCTTGACCCGCTCGACTTACCGGGTGAGTTTACCACTTTGAATTTTGGTAACGGTGAGCAACGAAATGAAGAGAAAGCATCAAGTTCGAAAATAGCGGAGAACCCCCTCGCTAAGCAAGAAAAAGTCGCAACCGACCAGCAGAAAGCAAACGAGAAAAGTTCAAGCTCCAGCTCGTCAGCTAATCCAGACCCTGAACCGATAAAACCAGAGTTCTTCGATGGAATTAGCCGTAAACTCGTGCAGAATCCGAATGCTCGAATCGTACCGAAACGACCCCCGCCCGTTCCTCAGCAGGGACAGCCACAAGTTCATCGGGTGATGGATGTTTTGAAGGCTATCGAGTATCGACAAAAACTTGAAAAGCAGCAGGTAAATCGCAAACGCGAGCCGGAACATTCGAAAGAAGACCTTCCGGAACCAAAGCGCCGAGCTGTTACCAGTTTTGTTGCTTGGGCACTTTTGACATCGGTGAAACCGAAGCAGGCAACTGGGACCGACTGGGATGCAGCCAGGCAAAAAGAACTCGACGGCTTAAACCGACTAAAAACTTGGGTCGAAGAACAGCCACCACCGAGCACGCCCGTCATTCCCATAGTTTTGAACTACACGATCAAGGCGGATGGACGAAAGAAAGCCAGGGCGGTAGTGTTGGGCAATCTCGAACAAATCGACAACGAGAAAAACGATTTCGATTGCTACTCTCCGGTCGTTTCACACATCACAATCCGGACCATGCTCAAGAAAATGGCGACCGAAAATTTGTGTTGTTCGGGCTTCGATATCGAAAATGCATTCGTGACAGCGAACTTGACGAAGAGAGTTTATTGTCGACTACCACCTGAATGGGGCGGAAAAACCGTTCGTCTTATCAAAGCACTTTACGGATTGCGATCAGCACCACGACACTACAGTGACCATTTTGCTGCTGAAATCGCGGCAATCGGGTGGACAAGAAGCGAGCACGATCCTGGCTTGTTTGTCAAGATCGTGGGACAAAGTAAGTACTTTTTGCTCGCGTATGTCGATGACGGTCTGATTTTAGGACCAGAACAAGCAAAATGCGACGAGCTACGAAGTGAAATTTTGAAGATATTCAAGGGCCGGCTTTTGGAAGTAACCAAGGAAAACAAAACCGAAAAATTTGAATATTTGGGCTTGACAATTACCCACGACCGAGCCAATCACATCGTGCACGTGAGTCAGAAAAAGGCAACCGATCGGATTTTGAAAAACTTCAACATGGAAAAAGTAAAACCAGCAAAAACGCCAATTGTCAAAAACATCGACCCCAACGGGACGCCGTTACAACCGAACCAAATCCCTTTCAACTACAGAGCGGTAGTGGGCCACTTGCAGTTTTTATCCTGTTTTTCACGACCCGACCTCACCTACAGCGTGAAAGAATTGAGTCGGCACCTGGAGGCGCCAAATCAGGAAGCAGTGGACGCAGCAATTCGAGTTTTTCAGTATTTGAAGGCGACAAGTACCATGGGCATCACGTTCAAAAAGGAAACCAAACGAATGGAAGACCTGCAGTTTCAGGCATTTTCGGACGCTAGTTTCGCAAATGAAGAAAACCGAAAAAGCTGCAGCGGATGCCTTGTAACATTGGGATCGTCGCCCATTTGGTGGAAATCGAAAACGCAAAACGAAATCGCTATAAGTACTTGCGAAGCGGAGTACTACGCGCTTTTCGTACTGGTCAAAGAGTTGAAATCTATTCGCCAACTGTACAACTTTATTTGGGATTTCAAACCTAAGTTTACGGTGTACGTCGACAACAAGTCCGCCATCAAGCTGGCAAAACACAGCTTGGTGACAAACAGGACGAAACACATCGATGTACGTTATCACTTCTTGCGGAGTTCAGTACTAAGTAAGGAAATCGAAATAAAATATATTCCCTCGAAAGAAAATAGAGCAGATTCGCTAACAAAACCAACAGCCGCGAGCTATTTTCAAAACCAACTAGGTGTAGGTATGTTATAAATGTTTCACCTCTCACACTGGTCAAACATCCTAGCAGAAACAGTTTTTTCATTACAAAAATGCAACTTATTCATTTACAAAATTAGGAATTTTATCTTTCTCCAAACCGATATACTTTTGCAATTTATCCGAATAGTATAAATTGGGGGGGGAGAATGTTGGCACCCCTCGGTAAAAACGTATTAGAATCGGTTACGTACAGAAATTATTTCATCGTGCAAAACACACAAGAAGAGAAAGAGAGAGCAAGAAGCAGAAAGAGTTTCTTCACAACATTTCAAGAACGTGAACAATGTCGAACACTCTGCAGGATGTATTTTTAGCCCCGCTAAATACTACTTGAGTCATACCCGAAATGGTAATTTGTTCATGAGGTTGATAGTGTTCTCACGATGATCAGCCCTGTGCCAACATTTCGTGTCCTTGTGATATCAAATAAAGAACCTTTTCGAATGTTTTCGCGAGCCCATATTTCAAAAAATATTTCCAGCGTTTTGCGAAGGATTCTCCAGTCGCGTCGAATATTCCTGACCTCTACCGCGTACGTTGTCGAACCTGCCAACACCGGCGCACAGCCACAAAGCTCCGCGAATCTTTGACGAGCTCGCCAAAAATAAAAAAACACGGCCGCCACGATTTCGACGATTAGCAGCACGCTTGTGCCTCGCGATCCGTCCGCCTGTTGAGTTTTACGGACATCAGCATCCGCCGGGTTCTCGCCGAAATCTTGCAACCTTGGACACCTGCAACCAAGATGCAGCCGGCCGGGAAATGTAAAAAACGCAACAGCGCGAGCCATGCCCGACGGTAGGGATGGCCGACGCAAAAAACGAGGCAGCGAGCAAAACCACAGCCCTCCA